CAGGACAGCGGCCCTCGAGGACCCACTGTGGGGATGCCTGGTGTGGAGTCTTATTAAAGCACACATTCAACCTTCTCCCAGAGCTGAACTTAGAGCTTCGGATTATAGATTTATTTTGTATACTTCATATCTGCATTTACACTAGCTATCTTCTCTCTGTGGCTACCCTGAGCCCAGGCATTCCTTCCATGGTGTCAGCGGACTCTGATGTTCATTATTCATTTCGCCATGTTAAATGGATGTCCTGGTGGGACGAGCAATGAGCCTGTTCAGTCATCGGACCCCCACCTGGCATCTTCATGTCATGTCAGCCTCTTGCAGCGAACTGGACGTCCCTCTTAAAAGCAGGCCACTGGGCCTTGTTCCATCCTTTAGAGATGAGGTTTGTAGACTGAGCAGTGGGAACTACGCTGCTGGGTCACGCTTTCTCTGACCTTAATTGAAGGGTTTTCACAAAGGCAGGTTGCTGTGTTCTGCATTATCCATTCAGACTGCCTGTGCTAGCAGTGTAACAAAAATAAACAATAAAGATGCAGCAAAGCTGATATAAAAAAAATTATCCAGTTTGTTTCTTTTAATATCAGTAAAGGTTATTTACGATATTCCAGGGATTCCTTCATTAAGACAATGAAGTATTTTTTAATGAAGTATTTTCTTCCTGACAGGAAGACTGTGATGTTTAGTTTTTTTATTTCTCTTGGTTGTTTTTTCCTTTTTTTTAGGTGTGATTAAGTCGTTCTATTTGTCGGTCTGGATTTTTACAGTTTTATTTTCGCCCTGTGCTTTTGTCAAGGATTTCCAGAGTTATTTTCGAAAACATTTGTTTCTCTCTAATCTGATTAAAACACCATCCTGAACTCTATCCGCTCTACTTGATAACATCTGGCCATGACTCTCCTTAGCAGACAGTTCCTTGATTTTATTGCTGTGTTGACCTTTCTTTTTTGGGGATTATGGTCCAATCTGTCCTTTTATAACCATATTTCTTTACATGCTTTAGTCTGAGTAGTTTTAGTGGGAAGTTCTTTAGATTTTCAGCCATCGCTCCTGTTTTTTTTTTTTTTTTTTTAAGCACCTAAGACATGGCGCTACATGAAGAGCTAGCAGGGCAACAGTAAAATACTGTTTTTTTATTTCTACACACAACATTAAGAGGAAGGCTCTCAGAGTAAATTCCAATGAACGTATTTTAACGTAGAACTAAGCTACAAAAAGACTGCTAGCTACACAAGCTAAAAAACTGTATCTTTTTTGTCATTATGTGCTCTCAGTCGCTATAGCAATGATGTTAGGCATTTCTGTGTGTGTGAAAGATTTACTGAGAAACAAATTGTCTGAATGTTATAGAAACTGTATTTTACTACATTCATCCTCCTAATGTTAGACGCAAGGCAGCCATATTGGATTTAGAGGTCAGAGTGGTGAAAAACACAAATCTTTCAGACTTGGACCTACAATTTTAGCCTAGTCTAGATTTGTTGTACTTGTGTTCTGAAATGGAGACTAGGCGAAAGTTCAACTGAAGAAACTGATTGCTTTCCTACATCCACCTGCAGCACAGCCAATCAGCTTTGAACCACACCTCCACGAAAGCCAATCGGCATCCAAAGTTCATCTTAAAAGGCCCCTGATCCTCACTGTCTGCTCCTGTGTGCAGGCGGTGGTTGCGCTGTTCATTCAGATGTCCTCGTTTCAACCCACTTCCAGCCCCTCCTCCACCATCATAGCTAAAGCTTCATCAGAGTGTAATTCCTCCTGGAATCTCACTGCGTTCCCTGTCTCATCTTAACCGGTCTGGCAGAAGACCGCCATGTTGAGCCTGGTTCTGCCAGAGGTTACTTCCCTACGGGGAGTTTTTCCTCTCCACTGTCACTTCATGCTGGCTCATCATGGACAGGTTCTCTCAGCCTGTGTTATCCAAACTGGACTTCTATCTTCCAGGTCCCTGAGTGAAGCTCTAGAATCAGCTCACGCAATCCACTGGATCTCCCCATAAAGCTCAGCATACCGTCTCACTAACCAGCAGTCTACAGACTGACCAACTTCCTCCATCTCCACTCCACCACCATTTTCAGGCCTGGGGGGACACAGCCCTATTCTTTACTCCTGTTCATGCATATCTATCAAAATTAAATGCTATGTTTCCTACCGAGTACCAATAGTATTGTAAAAAGTATCAAAAGTATTGTATCAATAAATTCCTCCTAATTGTCTTTTCTCTTAGTGTGAGTTTTTCGGATTGAAATGGAGTTAGTACAGCTGCGTTTGAGAAAGAACTTCTGACTGAGGACCTTTGGTATAAGTGGAGTGGGGGCCTAGTGGTTAGGGCATTGCGCTTGGATCCCAGAGGTTCTGAGTTCAAGCCCCAATCTCATGGACTGCCGCTCTGGGTTCCTGAGCAAGACCCTTAACCCCATACTGCTCCCTGGGTGCTGCACAATGGCAGCCCACTGCTCCCCAAGGGGATAGGTTAAATGCAGAGAGTTCATTTAGTTGTTTTGTACTTGTGACAATCTAATGACAATAAAAGTTGAATTGTATACTAAAGAGACAAACTACAACATATTGCTATTTTGTTCTATTTTCTCAAAGCCCATGGAAAGCTTTCTAACTCTGTCTACTGCCCTCACAAACCATCGATTTGATCCTTTACACCTAAGCCATTACGGCTATTGCATGAATACAGCTTCTCAAAGCTTGAATCCCCTACTTTGGAACAAAAAACTAAAAATCAATATAGAGGCTTCAAATACATGTGTATATTTTTTAAAGAGTTATCTACCATCAGTTCATGGTTTTTCTGTGACTTCAGCTCCTCAGCTCTAAAGGCACTCTGACGCTGAGGAATGTAATGGAAACCCAGCCAGTTCTCAGAATGACTGAGAGCATCAGTAGCAGAGTCAATACCTGGCAGTGAGGATCAGACTTGTCTCTGTTTGTAAAAGTCCGTGGGTGCAGATGCTGATGTCTGATGAAACAAATCGCTGTGCAGGTTAGAAAAATAGTTTACACGTTTTCATTTCTTCTATGAAATACAAAAAAATGAACAATAAAAATGGTTTGTGCAACTTCTCTATGGTTCTTTAAAAGCATTTTTTGTAATTATGTGTTTATATTTTTTTAAATCTAAATAGAGTCAAAACTCTATTAAGGCTGTTAAAGCACAGATGATCTATCTACATTAGAGGTTACCAGCAATTTAAACTAGCCCTCTACTGCCACCAAGTGGATTATAGTTGATACAACAATATAGTTTTATTGCAACCACTGGATTATTAAAAGAAAGTCTTTGTAGATAAGTTTTTGATTGCTTAAAAAAGTGAAACTAAAAAATACCTACATGAATTATGACAAATATCTACAAAGTTAGTTTTAAAGTTAAATTCATAATGCTTGTCTTAAAAGGTTAGGCAACTTAAACGTGCACTTAAGCCTTCCTTTGTTTTGGGTTTTTTTATTTCATCAACATGTTTCTTTTGATGGAAAGTGCTCAAAGTTCTATATTCAACTTGAATTGAATCCCTCTTTGGAGTGAGCTATGGATTAGGGTGATGGCACAGAGGCCTTCCAACCTCAACGCCTTGGAGCGCAACGTGAAACTTGATTGGTTCAAATTATCTGTGGAAACTTGCAAAAAGCCACACTGCAAAAACAATCTAGAAATAAGAAAAAAACAATCTTAAATTAAGTGTATTTACCCCTAATTTGAGTAGATATATAAGATTTGCCAAATGGAATGAGTATTTTACTCAAAAAAATAGATAATTAGATAATATGCACTTGAAATAAGACAATTCAATTGTGTTTTCCTTACTTTAAATGTAAATTGTTTTATTCCTCTGGCAAAGTGTCTCTGTTGCATCCTCAATTCAAGAAAAAATGACTTAATTTAGATTTCTATTTTTTGCTGTGTATGGTTTTGTGTGGTGTAATGCTAAAAGATTTTTATGTTAGTAACTAAGACGAATGTAAAAACATTTCAACATAAATTTTTATTCATCTGAACAAAAAGTTTTTTTCTAAATATAAACTTCTTTTAATTGTATCTCCTATTAGAAAGCAATGTCTTGTTTAGTAAAAATGTCTGAAAATCTGGTGGGGGTGTGAATCATTTTGGCCTGAACCGAACGATATACATTTTTTGGTTCATTATATTATTAATCCTCTCAGGCTCACATTAAGTTGTAGTTGAAGGAACAATCTGATATTTGGACAAATGATCATATGGGGTAGTAATATACAATTCAGACCTTTTTTTGAGAGAGACCTTCACATGCAATGAATTTTGGGATGTTGCAGATTTGCAACAGTGTCCCGGAGTGGTAAATTAACACTGAAGATTGAATCTGATAACAAAATTCGAAAACAAATTCTCACAAAAGTAGAGACAATTGGCATGTATCATATCTATAAACATTCATGATTCATCTTATGTAGTATTGATTTCAAAATAATGGAAATTGATAGTGATACTTATATGACATTGGTGCTTAGAAAATCTGTTTCAGTGACACCAAGGACTCAGCCATGTTGAAAGTGAGTCAGTTGTGCTATCTGGTGAGCTGGAGAGAAACTGTTTGTTGAAAATGCACAACTAAGTCCTTCTGTTGCACTTCTGAGTAACAAAAGCTCTTAAACTATGGATGTGGAGTAATTAGCTAAGTGGCTTTTAGCTGTTGCAAATCTGCAACATCTGCCTGGAGAGGAGAAAGAATGAGAAGGAATGAACAAATAAAACAAATGTATCAAATGTAATCTACACATAGGACATCTTGATGTATTTAGATCTTTTAAAGATTGTTGAAAAAGAACAAAAACGCTTTCTGAAAAGTCCAGAGAGCCGATCCAAACATATGGACATTATGCTGCTATTGAAATCTAATTAATGTTGTCACACATGAGTTTCTGCAAAGTGGAAAAACTATTTCATTTTTCTAAAACCCTCCCTCGCAGTTTTTGTCTTACTTTCTAACCTCTCCTTTTCACCTTTCTCTTCGCAGTGTTCATAATGGCTACTGGTCTGCTGGTGTACCCTTTCGGCCTTAACTCCTCACTGGTTCGATCTTTCTGCGGAGACGCTGACATCTACTACGCCGGCGAGTGCCAGATCGGCTGGGGCTACATGCTGGCTATCGTTGGAGTCATGCTCACCGTCTTCTTGCCCTTCTTTGCCAAATATGCACCGAAGGAGCAGCTGTCCCCCACCCCTCTGCCCACTCTGTTATAGTTCAGCCTTGTTTTTTTTTCTCTCTTTAACTCTTGACCACTTTGTACGATCAGTACCTAAAGTCCTGAAAAGCTCCTGAGGAAGCCCCACTCAGCCATAACTGCAGCTGAAAATACAGAAGAAAAAAAATCCAAAAGCCGTCTTCCTGCATCTGTAAAGTTATTCTTTTTTTTTAATGTTTAATTAATAAAAAAGTCCAACCTCTAAAATGTGAACTAGGTTTTATGTTTCTGTGAAGACATGTTGCATCCAAATGGAAGCATGATGCTACATGGCTCCGGGGTTTCAGCGACATTTCTGTTCAGTGCAAGTTTTTTGTGTATAAGAAAGCTTGATAAAGAGGCAATAAGGACAGTTTGAGAATTTAAGTACATTTGAAGGATGCAGACGGACGTATCTGAACTTTAAACGAGTCGTCTCTAAAATAAATTGTGTTGATAAGTGCTAAACAATTCTTTAAAAAAGGACTTAGAAGGATATTTCGCTTCAGATGCTTCTTGTCTTTTCGCCTGACAGAGAACTAATGGAAGTTAGGACAATGTTCAGCTTTCAGAGACTGAATCCAAGGAAAGGACACAGAGACGCAGCGTCAACGCCGCAGAAAGGACAATTTCAAAACCAGCCTCCTTTCCCATGAGGAGGTAAAAAAGATGTTTGTTTCAGTGCAGTGTTGTTATAAAAGGAAAAAAATCTAAAAAAAAAAATGTTGAAGACACTGCTTGTTTTTGTCAACCTTTTCCCCAGATTTGTTCGTGTGACGTAGTTAGCTTGTGTTCTCTGCCCTCAACACCCGATACTAAACTTCAATTCAGGAAATAAAAATGTTGCAAAATGCCAGGAGGTGTAGGGAGGGTTTCTAAAACTGCATGGAAAGATGGGTTCTGTTAACGGTGGAACTGATCTAGATTTTAAATGTGATCTGACCAAATTGTGCCTTTTAACGCAACAAAGACAAGTTTCATACAGTTATCAGGTCTCTCTCTAATGAAAGCAGAGGAATCTGTTGTGCGATGTGATGTGTTTTTCTCCTCTATTTTTCCTCCTAGTGGTAAAGTGTTTTTTTATGTACTTCATGCAGTGTGATCTCAGTAATGTTTGGGAGGGAAAAGACGTCTATGAAGATAATAGCGAAGATAATAGCCAAGAGGAATGCAACACACTTTTTTTTCATCATCCTCTGAAACGTTTCTGCAGATTATCCAAAAGAGGTGAATCACTCCAAGTGCTTCATTAGGAGGTGATAATGCTCACATCCTTTCTCTGCATCGTTTTTATTGAATTTCATGTAGAAATAGAAAGGATTTAAAAAGTGTTTCTAGTACATGATAACATTTAATGTAAAAAAGGGTCCACCAACAAGCTGATGAGTTTTAGATCAGCTGTAACTATAGGACGGTATGGTAGGGGTAAACTAAATAAATAAACGGCAAAATCTGTGAGGTAACCAGAAAAATAAATGATAGAAATGTTGAACTGTCTAACACAGGAAGAAACTTTAAATTAGATCTAAAGGGGATTTTATTGCAATGTAGTTTACAGCAGTTGACTTTTTTGTTAAACTGTCAAAAATATTGTTTGGAGGGGGGTGGGAAATTTTTCTTTTAAATCAAAGGGGGGCCCAGCAAAGTGATCTGGTTCACTGCCAGGACCATCAAGCCTAAACTCAGTTTTTAGTCAGGGTTTAGCAAACTAAATGTTAAATAACTCCAAAGTATGCTTAAATCTTTGAAATAAATCATATTTCAATGCTGGTAATGTACTGGACCTCCCAACTGGACTCATCCCCATATTTGTTGGAAAGCTATGTGTAAAGTTTCAGCACTGGTAAAAAAAACAAACAGTTTTTTTGTTGAGAAAATGTCTTTTTTTCATTGTGGTATTTTACTGTAAATAAACTAACTGTTGTTGGTATCACATTATTCCTAACTGCCCCTTTTTGGATTATACTTTTTCAATAAACTGATTTGTGTTAGCTTTAACCAAATTGCTCTTCTGGTTGTTTTGTGGCATTCCTTTGTAATAATAAAGAAAAATCATGGCTTTAAAAAAAAGATGCTTTACTCTTTACTTAGTTTTAAATGAACTTTATATCTGTTCTCAGAGAACTATGAAAACAGTAAATTAGAACAAGTGGTTCAATGGCTACAGAAAATAACCCTGTGGAAGCAGCATCACTTCAGGGTAAAAAAACCGCAAACATCACTTATAACTAACTGGTAAACATTTTTAACGAGCTACAGAAATGTTAGAAAAACCTAAAACTTTTGAAGACAGCTGATGCTCAGACTTCGCTGAGTATCTTGACCTGTGCTCTCATCTCTGCATCCGAGACTTTGACGGCTTCCAGAGCGTTCCTCTGCTCTGACAGCTGCCCGGCTCTGACAGACATACAGATCAGCACGTCTCTGCTGCGGTCATAGTTGCCGACGCAGCGATGGACCTGACCTCGGATGAGGCGTGGCAGCGCCTGCTCCTGATAGGCATCAAACAGGGAAATATAACAACATTCATTCAGTTATATTTTACAGTTTCGTGCCAAAAATACTGATAATGATGGAAAGATGTTTCCTTAATTGTGACATTTAGGGGAAAAAGGCCAATTTTACCAATTGAAATCTGCAAACTGTGGTACCCATTGGTATTCAGTCCCTTAAAAAACAGTTTCATCTATGCACATTCAAATAGTGACATGTTTGCCCATTCTTCTTTACCTCAGGCTCAGTTTCTCAACATATTAATAGTGCGTTCAGGGTCCTAAACAGGCTGCGTCTTTTCAGCCTCTCACCGTTATCACCATCTATTTACTGCTCACCAGAATAACTATCCCAGCTGAAGGAAAGCATCCCCACAGCATGACACTTCTGCTACCGTGCTTCAAGGATGGTGGGTTCAGAGTTTGACTTTCTGCCACACAGAACGTTTTAGGTCGACCACTTCTCTGCATCTTTTGCTTTGCTTGTGGCAAACCGGCCCCATTTGAAATCCTTTTAACAATGAATTTCTTCTTGACACACAAAGATAAATGTCTGATTTGCAAAGTGCATGATTACTAGTTTTCCCATCACCACGTTCTCCTACTCAAGCTACAGAATTATCATGGGTCTCCTGGCCCCAATGTTTAGCTTGTTCTGCAGCTGAGCCATACTGTTTTCTAAGTAAATTGTTCTATTACTTAACTCTACTTTAAAAATCTCTACAACACTGTCTCTCATCTGCTGTTGTGCTGCTTGGTTTTCACTGAGCTGTTTGGCATCAATATTCTCTAACAAACCTCCAAAGCCTTCATGGAAAATCATAGTTTCACAGGATTTTAATCAGGAGTCAAAGTAAAAGGGGCTGAAAGCAAAACGCTACAGATGTAGATTGCTATTGTTTTCCTTCCACTCTATAAACAGGTGCTACTTCGTTTTGGACTATAGATAAAACTTATATATACTTCCTATCAAGAAAAAATACTTCATTTAAAAAATGAATCATTTTTTAAGGAAGGAATCTCTGGAATATCATAAATTGCCTTTACAGATATTAAAAGAAGCAAACTGGGTCATTTTAAAATCGGCTTTGCTGAATCTTTACTGTCTATTTTTGTTAGCCAGGTGGTCTGAATGGATAATGCAGAACAGAGGGACCTGCCTTTGTGAAATATAAATGCACTGAAGTTTTGAGAAAGTTTTAAAAAGGTAAATAGTTAGAGAAACATCTGCAGCTTAACATTAGTTCAAACAAAATACATGATAGCCAGCATCTATGACTATAGCTTAGCATATTTGCATTTTATTTACATTTTATTTCAAACTCTACTTACTACTAGTACTTTATTATATTTATTATAAAAAATTAGAAATATTAGAACTGTAAATATACAGTCATATGTTTATTTTACTGTTTTTATGTATTTTTTACTGTTTTCAAGGCTGCACTTTAAAAAAATGAAATTGTCTAGAGAGCTGTTCTTAACGAAATGTATTTTTGTTTACACTTGTGTATACAAAATAACAAAATAACTCTGTCTAAGTCTGAACTCACATTTTCATAGAAGACACACTGCAGCACGTCCTTCCCGTCTCTCAGGAGAAAGTTCTTGGCTCCGTAGCGCCCCAGTGTGACTGCAGAGTCCAGAGTAGCTGTGGGAAAAAAACAACCAGTTTGTTTAAAGGTGTTAAGAATGAAGTAAACAGAGGAAATGCAAGTTATAGGAACGTTAATTCCCTGACCAAATATCTCATAAAAGCAAGGAATTTTGTCTTTAAACTGGCTCCAGTGTCTCATTCCTTTAATAACTGTAGTCAGGATCCTGAGAGAAGGCTCCATGGCGGGTTTCACTGGAACCGCTTCCTGCTGAAAATATTCATCAGAATCATTGTTACACGATAACAAATGACAGGAACTGATTTTAAAAGTTAAATGTAACTTTCTACCTGATTCTTGGTTGGTTGAGCTCTAAGAGTTTGATTTGAACTGTTTTTTACAACTTGGTTAGATTTCTGCTCCTCAAAGCTGTTAGTAAATTTCCAGGACTTGTGAGGTTGCTGTGCAGCATGAGCAGAGGGCCTGACGGGTGGTTCTTGAGGAGGCAGAGGTCTGGACTGCTGGGAAAACTGATGTGCAGAGAACGTTGGTTTGCGGGACGACTGATGAGTCATCTGAGGGGGTCCTGCGTGCCGTGTTGGTCTGCTTCCCTGGTTCTCGTTGCCGGAAGGATGTTGATTTTTGCTTTGTCTGGAATTATCACCAAAGCTGGAATCCCATTGGCTGGGTCTAAAGCTGGTTTGGTCCATCATGGAGCTGAAGAAACACAATATTCAGTTTAATTAAAAAAGCAAGATTCTTTATTTTAAATGTAATATACAGTGGTGACAATTCTGTAAAATCCTATCCTATGAAAACAATTAAACAGAACCAACGTATGAGTAAGATTTTAACATTATGCAGATCATTTGCTTGTTATTGTGTTATGAAAATGAATATTCCTTAACCTTTTTTACAAGGAAAGATAAAAGAAGTGAAGGACAGAGAGTGAGTGAGGAGCACCTCTTGGCCCCTGGTTTGTAGGGATGTGACATGGGTTTGATGACTCTGGTTGTAAAGGGTCCAGGAGCAGGTCTGTTGCTGCCATACTGCGGGGGTTTAGCAGACTCTGGGAAACCTTTTCTGTTCCACTGATGGCTTTGAGGAGCACTAGAAGAAGAACCTGAGACCGGGTAACATCCATAGGCACCTGAGAAGAAGAACATCCCAGGGGTAAATCCCACTCTCACTAGTATCTAAACATGATCTTGCTACGTATTAATTGAAATTATTGAAGTAAAATAGAGTACGAGGTAGCAAAGTATTAAAATTTCAAGATGTGGTACATAAAACATTTTTTTAAACTTTTCCAAAAACATTTTAAAGATAGTCTGACAGTTTCTGTGAATGTGCTGCCACCTAGTGAC